GATAGATGATAGATGGATAGATGGATGGATGATAGATGGATGGATAGATAATGGATAGATGATAGATAGATGTTAGATGGATAGATGATAGATGGAGAGATAAATGATGGATGGATGGATAGATGATAGGTGGGTGGATGGATAGATGATAGATGGATAGATGATGGATAGATGGTAGATGGATAGATGATGGATGGATGGATAGGTGATGGATAGATACGTGATATCGCTGTTAGATGGATAGATAGATAATAGATAGATAGATGATAGACAGATGTTAGATGGATGGATGGATAAAGAGATATAGATGGAGGAAAGGTAGAGAGAGACACACAGAGTCAGACAGCTTTGCTCCCGGACCAGCTAAGAATAAGCCCCTTCATGTCTGAAAACAAAGATACCTTCTGACATTATGAAAATTAGGAAACATAACATTAATACGATCCGTGGGGTGCCTGGGTGGCTCAGTTGGTTGAGCGTCCAACTCTTGATTTTTGGCTCAAGTTATGGTCCCAGCCAGGGTCATGGGATCAAGCTCCATGGTGGGCTCCATGCTGAGCATGAAGCCTGCTTAAGATTCTCTGTCTCTCCCTATCTCTCTCCCTCTGCCTCCCTTTGCCCCTCTCCTGCTTATGCACACACTTCCACGCTCTTCTCTCTCTCTCTCTCGAAAATAACAAAAATAAAACACAATCCTAGAATTTCATACATGTTCTACACTCAGATTTGCCAGTCCCAAGTCCGGGACCCGTGTTGCCTCTAGCACTTGCGTACCTGTGTGTAAGTGTGTGTGGTTGTGTGTGGTGCACATGGAGATGTATTTATGCATGTGCGTGGTGTGCACATGGTCACGTGCAGGTGCTTGTGTGGACATCTCCTCCACCCCAGAGGCGGCCTTCTGACCTTGTTTGTCCTTCACAACACTGACATTTTGGAAGAGCCAGGACAGTATTTTGCAGACCGTGGAGTGACACCTGTGCGTTGTGAGATTCAGGTCCGCATTTATTTTCCACATGGCCCCAGTGAAGGGTCTCTTCCCCTTTAATACCATAGCTTTGTAATAGTCCTTGTTTCTGTCCCTTTACAAAGTTTTCTTAGCTGTTCTCCCCGTTTGGTCTTTACTCAGTGGATATTGTCATTTATGTATTTTTATTATAAATATTTTAGACTTCTAAGAAGATACCAAGACTAATGTAACTACACCATCCAACTTAATAAACAAAATGTTATAAAGTGAAAACCCCCTTGAGTGTCCTACCAGACATCCCCCCCCTTCAGACTTTCTCTCAGCAGATATGTGAAAATCCGTATAAATCGCATCTGGTCGTGTATGTATCTTTCTGCATGGTGCTTTCATCCAACATTATGTTTCTGAGATAATATCAAGGCCGATGCAAACTTTTCTGTCAAGGGCTGGAGACCAACTATGTAGGGCCCCACCTTTAAGGACCCTACATTCTCTGTGGCAGTTTAGCTCCGCGATGAGCCTGAAGGTGTCTCAGGTGGTGTGTGAACAGGTGGACATGGGTGGTGCTCTGGTAAAACTTTACGGATCCTGAAATGTTTAATTTCATGTAATTTTCATGTCATGAAACATCCTTCTTTTGATTTTTTTCAACTATTTAAAACTGTAGGGGCACCTGGGTGGCCCAGTCGGTTGAGCATCCAACTTCAGCTCAGGTCATGATCTCGCGGCTCTTGAGTTCGAGCCCCGCGTCGGGCTCTGTGCTGACAGCTCGGAGCCCGGAGCCTGCTTCGGATTCTGTGTCTCCCTCTCTCTCTTCCCCTGCCCTACTTGCACTCTGTCTCTCCGTCTCAAAAATGAATACACATTAAAAGAAATCTTTTTTTAATTTTAAAATGTGAAAACTCGGTACCCGGCTGGCTTAGTAGAGTGTATGACTCTTGACCTCAGGATTGATCTCAGGATCGTGAGTTCGAGCCTCACATTGTGTGTAGAGATTACTTAAAAATAATAACATCATGGGGCACCTGGGTGGCCCAGTTGGTTAAGCATCTGACTCTTAATTTTGGCTCAGGTCATGGTCTCCCAGTTTCATGAGTTCAAGCCCTGCGTTGGGCTCTGCGCTGTCAGTGTGGAGCCTGCTTGGGATTCTTTCTCTCTCTCCCTGTCTCTCTGCCCCTCCCCCACTTTCACTGTCTCTGTTGCTCTCAAATAAATAGGTGGAAATAAACTTTAAAAATAAAATAGGGGCGCCTGAGTGGCTCAGTCGGTTAAGCATCCAACCTCGGCTCAGGTCATGATCTCGCGTTTTGTGAGTTCAAGCCCCACATCGGCCTCTGTGCTGACAGCTCCGAGCCTGGAGCCTGCTTTGGATTCTGTGTCTCCCTCTCTCTCTCTGCCCCTCCCCCACTTGTGCTCTATCAAAAATAAATAAATGTAAAAAAAATAAAATAAAAAATAATAAAATCTTTAAAAAAATAAATAAAAATGTAAAAACTGTTCTTAGCTCATGGGCTGGACCAAAAAAAGGTGGTGGGCGGGGTCTGACCTGCGAGGCATGGCTTTCCAGGTCTAGACACTGGTTTGTGTATATTCTTTCTATCGTATGAATATATCAACGTTTATTTATCCATTCTTCTGTCAGTGGGCATTTAGGCTATTTTTTGCTATAAACATTGTTATGAATGTCCTCTGCCTCCCCCATTATCAGCATCCCCCACCAGATGGCGTGTCCGTCACAACTGACGAATCTTCAGTGACACACAGCTATCGCCAGAGTCCAGAGTCACGGTGCGCTCTCGTGCTGGACATCGTAAGGGTTTGCACAAACGGATGCTGACGTGTGTCCATGTTACGGTCTCACACCGAGTAGACTCACTGTCCTAGGAATCGTCTGTGTCTGTGCATCCCTCCCCCTTTTCCCAACTCCGTCCTTGGTGCCGAACGAGCTTTTTACGGACCCCGCAGTTCTGCCTTTTCTGGGATGTCACAGAGTTGGAATCACACGCTACGTGGCCTTTCTCGGACTGGCCTCCTTCTCTTGGCTACGTGCGTTTACGTTTCCTCCACGTCTTTTCAGGGTTCAGAAGCTCATTTCTGTTCAGCGCTGGGCAATACTCTGATGACTGTACCATTTCTCTTGAATATTTCTAAACACACATTTTCTAGCTGTTGCAGGCCATTGGGAACCTCGTTGATTTTTCTCAGATGATTTGGTATCTAGCAATTCTGCAGAAGTGATTGGTGCTGGTGCGTGTGACCAGAGTTTTCCCTCGGTTCTCTATGGGGACAGAGCCCCTGCTGGGGTCAGGCTCCTTCCTTCTCAGTCCTGTCTCATGCTGCTGTCCTGGCCAGGACTCCCATGCAGTGGAAACAAGAGCAGGCTAGCTGGCATCCACACCTTTGTCCTGACTTGAACAGTGCTTTTTGCGTTTTTCTTTAAAGATTTTATTTTTTTAAGCAATCTCTACGTCTAAAATGGGGATCGAACTCATAACCCCGAGATCAAGAGTCACACGCTCCACCAACCGAGCCAGTCAGGAGCTCCAAATGCTTTTTGCATTTTATCTTCAAGTAGAAAGTTTGCTGTAGGTTTGGGTATTATGTTGAATCCTACAAAATTGCCATTTTGTAGGTTAAAAGCGGTCAAATATCAGCGAGTTTATGTGGCCCAGCCTCTTCCAGACCGTTCGTCGGTTTAAAGCAGCACTCTCTCCTCCTGATCTACTGAGTTTTTACGCAGAGTAGATGCTGAATTCTGTGCGCGGGTGCTTCTGGCTCCACCCCAGGGGCCCCGAGCGGGTTCCCGGCTGGCTGGATGCTGCTGCCCTTCCAGGGAGCTTATGCCCGTCCAGCGTGCCGGCCGCGTGCCGGCCGGGGCCTGGCACCTTAGCCCCCCGGCGCGGGCCGCCTGCCGCTGCCCTCAGAGTGTTCACAGCGTGGTTCTCCACACGACCAGAACCTTCCGCCTCTCATCAGTCGTTGAAAAGTATCGTGCGTGCATCCTGGAGCCGTGTCTGTGCGTGTGTGCGTGTGTGTGTAGTTTTTTTATTCGCTAATATTCCGCTTCTCTGAAGGGGGTGGGAGTTTCATAAACTCTTGACCCTAGACCATATGCTGATGTCCCGCGAACGGTCTCCAGTGTGCGTCAGATGAAATCAGAGAGCGCCAGGTGGGTGATGGGCGGCCTGTTCGGCCGTGGGGTGACGCGAGCTCCAAGTCGGCCCTGGCGAGGTGGCAGAGGCCGCGGCGTTGGGCTCCACGCTGAGCTGGGGGTGGGTGCGGGGCCAGTCGGCGGGGGGTCCTGGCTGGGAGGAGGGGGCGGCCAGCCAGGAGATGCGTCAGATCTGGATTTGCTGTGGGATGGACGTGGAGTGCGAGAGAAGGAAGGAATCCGGGTTTGAGGCCTGGCAGCTGGCTGGGGGGAGGCGAGCGGCAGTCTGGGACCAGCGATCCCCGAGCTGCCCCCCAGCCTCGTCCGTGGGCACACACACCTCATGGGGTGTTGGGGGCCTTCTGCTGGAGCTAAACACAAGCCCTCAGCAAAGGGCAGGGTCTGAGCCGTGGGACGGCGGGGACGCGCCAGGCCGCCTGGAATGGCTCTGGCTCTGTGGGAGAGATGTGCACAGCGGTGTGCCTGGCGAGGAGACATGGCCTGAGACAACTGGGCAGGGCTGGCCACAGAGAGGGGCTGAAGACCATGGCACTTTCCACCAGAGGATCCCTCCCCTGGAGGACCCCCTCCCCTAGGGGACCCGTTCTCCTGCAGGAGGACCCCCCTCCTGGAAGACAACCCATCCCCTGGAGGACGCTTTTTCCACTTGTGGGAAATGCTGTTAAAACTTCGAAGTGCCTCAGCTAGTTGTTCATAACTTTTCAAATCATCTGCATTAATTAATTAAACTTCTGCGTACGTGTTCTTGAGGAAAATGCCCTAAGTCATAGAATAAATGTGCCCGTTAGCCGTTACAGTAAACCATGCATATTGTTATCTGTACCTTCACTTTTTTCTAGTACATTAAGTACTTTATTACACGAGGGGCGCCTGGGTGGCTCCGTTGGTTAAGTGCCTGATCCTTGATTTTGGCTCAGATTATGATCTCAAGGTTTGTGAGTTCAAGGCCCCAAGTCTGGCTCCGTGCTGACAGCATGGAGCCCTCATGGGGATATTCTCTCTCAAAACAAATAAATAAACTTGAAAAGTACTTTATTACACTTTATTAATCTCTTTCAAACTACAAAACTACCATGCCTTTGATAATCCAGTGAAATGACTCCTTTTTTTTTTTTTTTTTTAACGTTTTATTTATTTTTGAGACAGGGAGAGACAGAGCATGAACAGGGGAGGGTCAGAGAGAGGGACACACAGAATCTGAAACAGGCTCCAGGCTCTGAGCTGTTAGCATAGAGCCCGATGTGGGGCTCGAACTCACGGAGTGCGAGATCATGACCTGAGCCGAAGTCGGACGCCTAACCGACTGAGCCACCCAGGCGCCCCAAAATGACTCCTTTCTTAAAACGTGAGAAAAGATGAGACTCTGGGGCCCAATTTTTAACCAGTAGATAAATAAGCAAAGGGTATGGTCAGAAAGCACAGAGGAAGACGCACAGTGAGTCCCTCAACAAATGCGAAAAGCCATTTATTATCAGTGCTGTCCCAGGGGCTGTCAATTAAATCCAAAAGATTTGTGTGCGTTTCTCAGTTGAAAACTCAAATATTGATTGAACTAGAGGGGAGGAGAGCTGGGTGGTGGGTGTGAGTGCTCCCTGGGGCGGGAGGAGGCTGGTGGATCTGGCTGGTTCCCAGGGGCCCCACTGGCCTACTGCCCGGGCTCTGCCCTGGTGCCCCTGCTTTTAATTCTTACATTTTCTTCCATGTTTCGTTCTGTGCCTCTTTAGAAACTCCCTCATGCTCCCTTCGGACTGCCGTCCTGCAGGCTTCCCCACAGAGAGAGCATGCAAAGAGCCATCAGAGCGATGCACCGATGGTGTGCCAGGGACATGTGCCCTGGGAGGGTCTGTGTGACGTTAGGTTCTCGGTCTCCTGAAGGATGTGAGGGGCACTCAGATGGCCACTGAAGGCCTGCTGTGGTCATCCTGGCTCGTGGACACGACCACGCCCCTCCCTTGTGGCCAGTCCCCAATGTGAGCGAGTCCCTGATACCGGAGACTTGGGGACAGCGTTTCTTCCTACTTTTGAGGGAGACCTGGGTGACACGCCCCCTCGATGACACATGACACTGAGTCCTTTTCTCTGCATTTCCACGGCAGGGCTCTAAGAGCGCCGAGACAGAACATTCCTCTGGACACCCCGGGGAGGCCCGGCCCCACCTGGTCCAGAGCGTCAGCAGAAGGTCCAGTCCGCCAGGCTGCACAGCAGGAGCTGAGGCCGGGTCGGGGCAGGTACAGCAGGGCCTCGTCTCAGTGCAGGGACCCACTGTGGGGAACCCGTGTGCCTTCTGTCCCAGTGGGTGGCTGTTGCCCTGAGTGACTGCGGTGTCAGGAGCAGACACCTCTCCTCGCGTGGGCGGGGGCAGGGGGGGGGTCTCCGTCATGCCCTTGCACAGCGAGACCCCCGCCCCGGGGCACACACGGGCCCCCACAGCGGGCCTTCGCGGCCGGAGAGCATGGGCTTTGGGGCATCTGTCCTTCTTTCCAGGTCCCACCTCCCATAGAGTGGACTGCCTTTGCCCTGCACATCGCGAGGCCTTCTGGAGCCCAGGGGAACCCCAGCTGGAGTGCCCGGGGAGCGCGGGCCTGACCGAGGGCCGTGCCCACCGTCCCACCACTCACCCAGCAGGACTCTGAGGGCTGTTTCTGTCTTTGTTTACTGTCACAGAGGCAACACGGGATCTCCAGGGCGACTTACAGATCAGCTCGGCAGAAGGAAAGCCGGTCCCCAAAGCCACACCTGGCTCAAGAATCCCGTGAGGAAAAGAGCCACCACACCCGAAGCTCCTCATCACCAGCCAGTGGTCCCCTCCAGGACACGTGGAAGTTACTGGACCTGGGATCCAGCCCCTCCGGCCTCACGTCCCAGGACGACTCTGTGCCAGGTAGGCTGGGGCCGGGACATGGGGGCGCACGAGTGCCTGGCTCCGGGGTCCCAGACACGCCAGGCTCGGCCACTCGTCACCGACACACCGACCACACTCCAGAGGCAGAGAGACGAGCGGATGTGACACGAGAAGGGTGGTTACTGCAGCGAGGCCGCTGTCAGGAGGACCGTGGGCGAGCAACTCGAAGACGGTCTGCAAAGTGGGGAAAACAGTCCCAGGGTTATATAGGGAGAATGCGGGCCGGCGGTCGGTGGGCCCGCGTAGGTGGGCGGTGAGGGTCAGGCAGATCACTGTCGGGGGCTGTCTCACGGGGGCCCGGTGTCCTGCAGGGCGGTTCTTGTTGCCGAGGGGTAGTTTCTGTTCCCGCCACGGATGCTTTGCCTGAGGTAAGAGAGAAGCTGGAAGGAAGAACTTACTCGTTCAGAAAGTAGGAAGTCAGAATGGAGGGAGTCGACATCCTGTCTTAGGCGAGACGCGCTTCCCCTCGCCGCTGTCCAGGAGGGCTGGGTCCGCGGTGGCTGATGTGCAGACAGACACCGCGTTCGCTCCGCCCGTTCCGCCTGTGCGGGCTCCTGCTGTGTCACCACAGTGCCAGTCCTCCTACTCGGGTGCTGCCCGGTGCTGCAGGGGGGTCCCCTCCACGGGGGCTGGTGCGGTCCTTCTGTCTGGGAGGGCCGGCCACTCTCCGGCCTCCCGAGCACGCCCGTGTGTCCTTGTCCCTGCCCCGCCAGGTCCTCGCGGGCGTCCAGGAGATGCATTTGCTCTGTTGGGAGAGCAGCCTGACCCCGAGAAGTGGCCGGAAGCCTGAGGGAATCCCTTCGGAATCCGTCCACAGGGTTAGGGGGTCTCAGCCCCACGTGGGCTGCACCTCGTTGTGTAGATGTGCCCTGACCGATGGGACTGTTGTCCCTGCGGTGGATATTTTAGGTCATTTCCAATCTTTTGCCATACAAGTCACATTACAGTGATGGCCTGGGACACATGCCTCCCGCTAAAAGCCTGTATGTGAGTCCCCAGAGTGGGGGTTGCCAGGTCGAAAAGCAGGTGTATTTCTAGTTCGGGAAGGTCTGGTCCGGTGGGGTCCGTGGGACCACCCCCGCTCACACAGACACCAGCAGGGCGTGCGAGGCTGCGCACACGGCACCGCGGACGTCACCCGCGTCTCCTGTCCGAGGTGGTGCGGCGTTCCCCCGAGTGGCTCTGGGCAGGAGTCCCCTCCTCTCCCCCCGCTCTGCCCCTTCCTGCCTGCCGGGGCCCCATCTATAGGAGCTTGTCCTTCCTGATGGAAATGACCCCTTTCCCGAGACACAGTTTACAAATACTTTCCCACCTTCCGGCAGTTTCTCATTTGACTTTCGGCTTATGGTGGTTTTTGTCATGTGTGTATTTTTGCATGTGTGTGTAGTTAGTGTTCTTGTTTTTAACCCTTTCTGGTTCCTGTGCCTTTTTTTGGCCTTTTCCACTCCACAATTGGAGATTATTCTTCCCTGATTTCTTCTAATACTTATGGCTTCATTTTTTTAATGTGTAAATCCATGAATCATTTGGAACTTATCACCGTATACGTTACAAAATAGGAACCAGACTGAGTTTTCGTCGCGATGGCCCAGCGGCACTCACTAGTGGCCCGTGTTGCCCTCTTGTCGCCCTCTTGTCGGAAGTCCCGCTCTCACTGCGGTGCTGACTTCCCCAGGGCGTCTGTGTCTGGCCCATCCCACCATGGCGCCCGGGTCTCCACCTGCCCGTGGGCGGTGCTGGGCTGTTGGAACCGTGACCGCCACACGGCCCTCGGCCGGCCTGGGCTCTCCTCGCTGTACCTTTCTGTGCATTTTCCTGGCTATTCCCGCGCGGTCTTAGCCTCATGTTCCTCCCCAGACTCTGCCCCTGGGTTTCCCAGGTGGGCCTCAGCCCTGCTTGCTTCGTATTTCACTGACTCACCGGCTTCCTTTGATTCCCCGCCTTCCCGCACCCATCTGTCGGGGCGGCGCCTTCTGCAGAAAGGACAGCGCCGTCCCCGTCCCCTGTGCCCCGCGGACCCGTGTGCGAGTCTGCCACAGGGGCTCCGTACATGCTCTTCCCTGTGAGCCCTCGTTGCTGGCACTTCCCTCCGATGGCTTTTTGTGTATTTTCTGCTTGGCGTGCTTGAAGAATTTTTTATCTTCTCACGCCTTTCATTGAATAGGTCACATTTTCCATCTCCAGCCTGTTTTTAAGTGACACTCAAGTTTTATTCTTCTGGTGGTTACTCCCAGCTTATTTTCATTTCGCCCATCAGTTTCTTAAACTTGTGGACATCTGCATTTTTCTGTTACCATCCATGAGGATACTAGCTGTTGGGGAGGGGTGTCTTTTAGACAAAATAAATTTGATTCAATTCCTTCAAACTTATCCGTGGCTACCTTAGTAGCCTCTAAGATACGTTGTTCTTCTTCCAGAATAGCTTTAAAAGAGAATTTTTATATGGGAAACTCTTTGAGGCCATCCATGTGGGGAGGACTTTTATTTCTGCCTCACATCTGACTCGCTCTAGTTAAGCATAAAACTCTAGCCCCATTCCTCACAACATAGCCGGCTAAGTGCCGGACTGGCTTCCTTTGCACATGTCCACAGAAAATACCACTGTCGGGGCCTCCTGATCTCGGGGTGGGGAGTTCGACCCCCATGCTGGCCGTGGAGCCTACTTGAAAGGAAGGAAAGAAGGAAGGGAGGGAGGGAGGGAGGGAGGAAGGAAGGAAGGAAGGAAGGAAGGAAGGAAGGAAGGAAGGAAGGAAGGAAGGAAAGGGAAAAGAAAAGGAAAGGAAAGAAAAGAAAAGAAAAAAGAAAAGAAAAGAAAAGAAAAGAAAGAAAGCAGGGCTTGCCTTTTTGAAAAATGCCATAGTCACACTTGAAGGGGTCCATACGTGGCAAGAAAGTGAAGAATTTTTTGAGTTTATGTATTTTGAGAGGGACAGAGACAGCCAGCACAAGTGGGGAAGTGGGAGAGAGAGAGAGAGAGAGAGAGAGAGAGAGAGAGAATCCCAGGCAGGCTCCACACTGTCAGCACAGAGCCTGACGCAGAGCTCAAAGCCACAAGCTGAGATCATGACTGAGCTAAAATCAAGAGTCGGATGCTTAACCGACTGAGCCAGTTGCCTCAAGAAGGTGAAGAATTATTATTTTAATGTTTTTATTTATTTTTGAGAGAGAGAGACAGAGCACAAGCAGGGGAGGGGCAGAGAGAGAGGGAGACAGAGTCCGAAGCGGGCTCCAGGCTCCGAGCCGTCAGCACAGGGCCCGACGCGGGGCTCGAACTCACGAACCGCGAGATCATGACCTGAGCCGAAGTCGGACGCCCAACTGACTGAGCCACCCAGGCGCCCCTAACTTTTACTTTTTTAAGTAATCTCTACACCCAACACAGGACTCGAAATCACGACCCCGAGAGTAAGAGTTGCACGCTCCTCTGAGCCAGCCGGGCGCCCCAATGTTTGTTTTATTCTTCAAGTTATTTTATTTTTATACTTTAAACTGTACATGTACATGTGTTTGATGAAACTTTTTGGGTATCTTGTAATAGAAAGTCTTAAAGAGAGAGAGAGTGGCCTCCCCGGGGCGTGTGGCAGGGAGGCCAGGTGAGGTCAGGACGCAAGGTGAAGGTTAGTGTGGGCTTACAGGTGGTCCCCGCGGACGGGCAACACAGCCGTGCCAGTCTTCCAGGAGGGAGGAGCTGGAGGGAAGAATGGGGCAGACGACTTCTTCCGGAAGCTGTGCTCTTGAAAAGCAGCAGTTCCGAGAGGCCACACCCGTCCACGTGCGGGTGGAAGAGACGGTCTGGTGGTGGCTTCCTGTCAGAGTCCCTTCCTTTCCTGCTTTTAAGTGGTACAGAGCCATGGCTCAGGGATGAGGAGGGCGGCGAGTCGGGAAGCAGGCAGAAGCAGGGGCCAAGCGGGGCCAGTTGGTGAGCAGGGCGGCCAGCCGGCTGCTGCAGGTGGCAGCGGGGACCGTTCTGGGTGGGGAGGAGCACAGCGGCAGTGCCGGTGCCCGGCGAAGCCCCTCGGCAGCCCTGACCTGCTGTGCACAGGTCACAGACGGCCTCCTGAAGGTGACTTAAAGCAGCCCCAGAAACTTATACGTGCTCACTGGACCCAGGAGGAGACAGCCGAGGTGGTGAGCATTTGGTCACATTCCTGACACGCAGCGAGCACGGCACGGCAGTGGCACTGACTCGCTGACCAAAACGTAGGAAGGAGTCCGTCAAGTTGTGCGTCGAGCCCAGAGGCAGACGAGCCGGGGGCTGGCTGGTCTGGGGCTCTGTCTCCTCCTGATGGTCCAGAAGAGCTGCAGCAGCTCCGAGCATCACGTCAGAAGGCCTGCTTCTCTCCCCACACTTCTTTCTTTTCATTGGGAAGGGAAGTGTTTTCCCCAGAGCTCCAGACAGACCGTCTTCCACCAGGGGACTGTCTCAGAGCCTGAGAACAGCAGGCAGGGCCTCGGCAAGGAAACCAGGAAGGCTGTGGGGCGGGCCTTCAGCACGGTCTGTGCAGGGGAGGGGGGTCACACAGCGGCTGGGGCTGGGCCTGTCGCCCCTGCCCTTTATGAGCCGTGCTTCGGGATTGAAAAGTAGGAGAGAGACGTTTGGCTCACCCTGGGCAGCATTTAGGCGGGAGGAAGGGTTGGAACGAACGCATTGTGGTCGTTCCAACCGTCTACAGAGTTTCTTTGTGCTCCCCTCATGTGTTGACCGAGTATGCATAGTGGAGTTATCTGTATGATATTCTACCTTCTGCAAGCATACTTCTTTTTTTTTTTTTTTAATTTTTCTTTTCAACGTTTATTTATTTTTGGGACAGAGAGAGACAGAGCATGAATGGGGGAGGGGCAGAGAGAGAGGGAGACACAGAATCGGAAACAGGCTCCAGGCTCTGAGCCATCAGCCCAGAGCCCGACGCGGGGCTCGAACTCACGGACCGCGAGATCGTGACCTGGCTGAAGTCGGACGCTTAACCGACTGCGCCACC